TTCGTTTTTCAATATAAAACCAAAAATAAGAAAACGAAAAAACAACAGTTTTCTTCTTTATTTGTCTCCAAAACCAAAATGAAAAAAACGGATAATGATTCGTTTTTTCAGTTTTCAATTTTGTGTTTAAATGAAGAATGGAAAAAACGGATAACGACCGTTTCCCGTTTACGTGACTTCAGTGACTGCGATGCCGGACTTTTGCACCGCGTACGGACTGAACTAGGACTGATCCAGGTCCGAGACCAGAGCGGGACTGAGACCGGGACCAGAGCGGGACTGAGACCGGGACCAGAGCGGGACTGAGTCTCAGTAGCGCTCTGGTCCCGGTCTGGTCCATCTGAACCAAAAGCTCTTAGTTCGGTTCGTTTTCGTTGGGGTGAAAGCGTCAGTCGGAGGCTTTGCACCACCTCGGAATCAGCCGCGGTTCTTGAGCGCGGAGGACCAGAGCAGCTCGGTCTGGTCTCGGACCTGGATCCGTCCTGATTCAGTCCGTATGCGGTGAGACTGGGACCAGAGCGGGCCTGAGACCGAGATCGAGACAAGACCAGGACCAGACCGGGACCAGACCGGAGGCTCAGAGCCCACGGCAGGGCCGGAGCTCGAAGCTGAGGCTCGGACCCCGTGGAGCTCGGAGTCAAAGCTCCGAGTCCGCTCTGGTCCCGCTCTGGTCCCGGTCTGGTCCCGGTCTCAGTCCCGCTCTGGTCTCAGTCTGGTCTCGGACCTGGATCAGTCCCGGTTCAGTCCGTATGCGGTGCAAAAGTTCGGCATCGCAGTCACTGAAGTCACGTAAACGGGAAACGGCCGTTATCCGTTTTTTCCATTCTTCATTTAAACACAAAATCGAAAACTGAAAAAACGAATCGTTATCGTTTTTTTCATTTTGGTTTTAGAGACAAATAACGAAGAAAACTGTTGTCTTTTCGTTTTCTTATTTTTGGTTTTATATTGAAAAACAAATGAACGAATGATACACGGATTCTAAACTCTGATAAAACTTGTTTTCTGTCATAGGACTGTAACGGTTCATTTATTGGTGCTGAACTGTTTCAGTACAGGACACTGGGTTTGGTGCAGGGCTGTGCTCGAGTGAGTTCGAGTAATTTGTGTATGTTTACATTTCCCCACCACATCTGCAGCTACACAGAGTCTCGGCTCTTTAACATTCATTAAGGAATTCGTTGATTGGGGCAGTGTTTCCCGCAGCGCTTTATAGTTAGAGCAGCCGCCTTGACAACAATTGCCACCCGCCTTGAGTACGTCCCTCCGAACCACGTGAATCCTCACAAAACTCCGGTCATCACGCCGCGGTCCTCCTCATTTTCGCTATTTTAATGCAAACGCCACAACAAATACAAACACCACAACACAAACGCAAATGCCGCAACACATTAAAAAGCCACAACACATTAAAAAGCCACAACGGAAGTGACCGCGGGACTCTATTTTCCGACGGACCGATCAAGCGGCAAGTGAAGAAGAAGAAGAACTACAACGTGAAAAGTAAAGGAACGGAGAAGTTGGAAATGCCAGTAAAAGTAATTTACTGTTTTATCATTATTCGTTTCACGTTGTAGTTCTTCTTCTTCTTCACTTGCCGCTTGATCGGTCCATCAGAAAATAGAGTCCCGCGGTCACTTTCGTTGTGGCTTTTTGATGTGTTGTGGCTTTTTAATGTGTTGCGGCATTTGCGTTTGTGTTGTGGCGTTTGTATTTGTTGCGGCGTTTGCATTAAAATAGAGTCCCGCGGTCATTTCCGTTGTTTTTTGTGTTGTGGCTTTTTTTTGGTGTGTTGTGGCTTTTGTATTTGTTGCGGCGTTTGCGTTTGTCGTGACCCTTCTCGGCTTCCGCAGAAGTGTCACAAATCGGCGCTTTTATCTGCTCCGCTCAGTCGAAAATCTGCAGTGGCCGTGACGGGATCATGTTTTTATTATTTGTTTCTATTTCTTTTTTGAGAGACTTAAAAATAAATCCACAGTCGGAGCGCGTCCGAGTCCGAGTCCGAGTCCGAGTCGGAGTTTCCGTGTTTGTTTGGTAAACGTAATGACCCGGAGCAGAAGTGAAGCCTCAGAAACAGCAGAGTTCATGACGTGACCTGCTGTTTCACAAACGAGTGCTGCTGGAAATACCCGTCTCTTTCTCTCTCTCCTCCTAAATACTCTCCCCATCCTTTCTCTCTCTCTCTTCAGCTGTAACTCTCTCTTCTCTCTATTCCTCACGTTCTTTTTTCTTTCTCTCTCCCTCCCTTTTTCCCGTTTCAGTCTCCTCCATAATCTCACTCTCTCCCTGTCCACGTTTCGTTTCTTTCCCTCTACTCTCTCTCTCCCAGCTCCCTCTTTCTTTATTTCTCTCCTCTCTCCCCATCTCTCTCTCTTCACCTGTGACTCTCTCTCCTCCTTACTCTATTTCTCTCATTCTTCTTTCTCTCTCCCTCCGTCCAATTTCTCCGTTCTCCACTGATCTCACTCTCTCCGTCTTTCTAGTCTCTCTCCCCACCCCTCTCTTTTCATTTCATCTCTCTCTCTCTCTCTCTCTTCACCTATAACTCTCTCTCTCTCCTCTCCATTTATTCAATTCTTTCTTCTTTCTCTTTCCTTTCTCGCAATTTCTATCTTCTCCATTAATCTCTCTCTCTCCCTGTCCAGCTTTCTTTTCTTTCTACTCTCTCTCTCTACCCATCCCTCTCTCTTTATTTCTTCCCTCTTTCCCCGTCTCTCTCTCCTCTCTTTTTCTCTCATTCTTTCTTCTTTCTCTACTTTCTCTCTACCCACCCCTCTATCTTTATTTCTTCCCTCTCTCCCTCTCTTTGCCTGTAACTCTCTTTCCTCTCTATTTCTTTCTTCTCTCTCCTCCCAATTTCTATCTTCTCCATTAATCTCACTCTCTCCCTGTCCACGTTTCGTTTCTTTCCCTCTACTCTCTCTCTCTCCCAGCTCCCTCTTTCTTTATTTCTTCTCTCTCTCTTCACCTGTGACTCTCTCTCATCTCTATTCTCACATTTTTTCTTCTTTCTTCTCTCCCTTCCTTCTTCCAATTTCAATTTTTTCCATTAATCTCACTCTCTCCCTCTTCTACACCCCTCCTTTTCTCTCTCTCCCCCCATCTCTTTATCTTCCCCTGTCTCTCTCTCTCTCCTCTCTATTCCTCCCATTATTTCTTCTCTCTCTCCTCACAATTTCCATCTTCTCCATTAATCTCTCTCTCCCCGCACAACTTTCTTTTCTCTTTACTCTCTCTCCACCCATCCCCTCTCTCTTTATTTCTTCCCTCTCTCTTCTTCTTTCTCCCGTCTCTCTCTCTCTCTCTCTTCACCTGTAAATCTCTCTCTCTACTTTACTCTTTTTCTCCCGTTCTTTCTTCTTTTGTTCTCTCTCCTTCCAATTTCAATCTTCTCGTTTTATCTCACTCTCGCCCCCTCTCTGCTCTCTCTTTATTTCTTCCCTCTCTCCTCTTCTCTTTCTCACATCTCCCTCTTTTCACCGGTAACTCTCTCTCTCATCTCTATTTCTCCCATTCTTTCTTCTTTTTCTCTCCCTGCTCCCAATTTCTATCTTCTTCATTAATCTCTCTCCCTGTCCAGCTTTCTTTTCTTTCTACTCTCTCTCTCTCTCTACCCACCCCCTCTCTCTTTATTTCTTCCCTCTCTCCCCCTTTCTTTCTCCTGCTCTTTTTTCTTTCTCTTCAAATTTTTATCTGCTCCACCGATCTCACGCTTTCCCTGTCCAGCTTTCTTGTCTTTCCCCCTCTCTACTTTCTCTCTCTCTACCCCTTCTTCTCTCTACCCACCGCCTCTTCTCTTTCTCCCCATCTCTCTCTCTTCACCTGTAACTCTCTCTCCCTCTTACTCTATTTCTCTCATTCTTCTTTCTCTCTCCCTCCGTCCAATTCCTCCGTTCTCCACTGATCTCACTCTCTCCGTCTTTCTAGTCTCTCTCCCCACCCCCTCTCTTTTTTATTTCATCTCTCTCTCCCCTTCTCTTTCTCCCCGTCTCTCTCCACCCTGATCCCCCCTCTCTCTCTCTCTCTCTTCACCTATAACTCTCTCTCCTCTCCATTTATTCAATTCTTTCTTGTTTCTCTTTCCTTTCTCGCAATTTCTATCTTCTCCATTAATCTCTCTCTCTCCCTGTCCAGCTTTCTTTTCTTTCTACTCTCTCTCTCTACCCATCCCTCTCTCTTTATTTCTTCCCTCTTTCCCCATCTCTCTCTCCTCTCTTTTTCTCTCATTCTTTCTTCTTTCTCTACTTTCTCTCTACCCA